TCGTGTTATTAATGTAGTTTGGTCTGCGCACAAACAGTCGTGCACTTTTTTGAATTCAGAGCAATCCACCAGACTTTAAAGCATCCTGAATTCCTGCAAATAAGCCAAAGTGTGTTATTTGTGCACTAAGGTTCTCTTTAATCATAGTAAAAATTTGTAATATTTCATCTATTATTTGCCTACTTTCCCTGATGTTTTAGCTTTCTGCTGTGGTATCGCTTCAGCACTGAGGATCGATTTATTCAGGCAGACATCACGTCTAACTCTAACAACGCTTGTGTGAATGTGTGTTTATGTGACACTTAAGCTGGATAATACTGGACTTCCTGCTCGGTCACACCCATACTGTGTATTTGCTCTAATGGTAACATATGGGGCTACATGAGGTTAGCGTGAACATAAAGATTTGCTTAGCGATGCGGTTAACAAAACCCACCAGAGGCTCAAAAAAACAGCCCACAGCCTTGTGAAGGAAATTTCCAATAATAAAGCTCACACAGAAACGCACACGTGTTCGCACAATGAAGTCACCCCGAGGCCCGACTATTCCGTGATCCTGCAGGGGCCGAGAGCTGAGCGGCTTTTACAGGATACTTTAAGAGCCCAATAAACTACATTAACTCACTTTTACAGCGTGACTCATTTAGGTTTCTTTAAAAAAAAACAAAAAAAAAAAACGAGTCTTTAGGAGAAGATCGCATTCAATGATGTTTCAGCAGACGCTAAAGCGCCACATTAAACAGGCAGACTTGTGTTTCTTAGCATGTTTCTGTTTGCTCGGCTATTTTGAAAGTGTCCAAACGCAGCAGGGCGACATTCTCAGTGGGACTTTTAGGGGAATACACACACCAAAAGAATTCAAGAGCCGACTCCACCTCCTGCTGCCATTACATCACAACCCGAGGCACCAAGCAACAGGGCAGAAAACAATCAATGGAAAAAGCGCTTCAGAGTGTCTTCAGTCAAACAGAACGAGCTGCAGAGCAGATCGCGGCTTCGTCACCGGGACAAGAAGGCCTGTGTCGGAGCAGCAGGGTGTAGCTCTGAAAAATGCCGCAGCTGCTGGCAAACAGTGGAAACCTGAGCGTTAAAGTCTAATTATTCTACGTGTTTCGTCATCGCCCCCGAACACCAAGTCGTCATGTGGTTCTGAGTCAGTGTTGTAACAGATGATAACGAGTCTGTTCGTCTCCATGCAGCCCAACAAAAAAAAAAAAAACGACATTTCCTCAAATTCTTTTTCACAAACGCCGAGCAGCACGTCTCTGAACCACAGACATCAGCTTGTTCTGTCATGCGACTGGACAAAACAACACAAACACCACACCAGACAGCAGGAACCGGTTTGACAGGGTCAGAATTCTTGCTTTCTGTTCCGACTGTCTGAAGTTTTGGTTCAACTTGGAAATATCTGAGGCTGCTGTTGAGTAAAGAACACGTGAGTGTGTTTCCATTTATGTTGCTGGTTGCTAAAATAGTCGCTAATTGTACTTTGTCATCATGACTTCTCACACTTCTTACAAAATCATGCACAGCTATGGACTTGAAAGCGGCCAACAAACTACAAACAGTGGAAGACAAAATTGGTTCTTCATGAATCTAATGTTTGTTCTAATGCAGTTTTATTCTTCTGCCTTTTTGTAATCATTTACAGTAAAGTTCTGCAGGTGGGTTGGGAAGCATATTCCTATCCAATTCAGTTCTTTTGGTCCAAACCAAAGCAGAAGTTAGAAATTTTAGTTCTGGTTCTCCAAGTTGTAAATTCAAACTCAATGTTGGATACAAAACAAAACACACGGAGAAGGTCACAACCTGACTGCACAGCTTTTATGATGTTTATTAGGAACTTGGCTGAATGCGCTTCTTGGGTTTCTGTATACTTTTGTGAGGATTCAAGAAGAGTTTATAAAATGTATAAAACAGTCAAAACAAACACACAAAGGAAGAATGATGATGCCTGAGCTAAACTGCAACAGCCGCCGTAGCTTCTATGACGAGACGAACTGGATGCTCTTGAGTGTTCTGTCCGGTTTTTGGTTCATCTTTGGTCTGTGTTGCCTTCGAACTGCACCAGTTTGTTTGGGTCAAGTTTCAGATGGTGGCATTCACATTTTTTCAGATGAACCACACAAAAGGAGCAGTTTAAGCAGGATTTAGGTAACAGTAGCCTACCCACTTTAGTGGACGGTCTTTCTTTTCCTACTAAGTTTATGCTCTCATTGTTTGAGGTTCTGAAGACTTGGATGCTTCTTCTTGACTTTATATAACAGTTAACTGAACAACAGTGAGTTTTGGATGTTGGTTGAGACACATTAAGACATTTGTCACTACTTTTATTGTCTTTTTTTTTTTCTTTTTGAACGATTAATTTGGAAAATACCCTTTAGATTGACTGATAATGGAAAATAACAGTTGCAGGCAGCTAAATAGACAACTTTTACAACTTCAGGCTTATACATACCAACAACCAAAACAAATTTAGTCCCATGCTGAAGCTCAGACAGAAGCAATATTTGAATATAAGCCTCTTGATATACTTTGCAAAGTAGTGCCGACTGATAAGCTGTATTTTCATCAGCATCATGAACACATGAGGCTGCCTGAAAAGCAACGCAGAAGAATGATTCTTTTGTCTACACAAGCCATGCATTCAAAAACACACACTCTCTCTTGTTTGTATTTCTTTGAACTAATCCCAGTCACCTTGGGTGGAGCTGAACGAAGGACGTGGCTTCAGTGTTTCTTCACATAGTGACGGTGGAACATTTGAACATGCAGGGAGATGAGCGCTGGGATTAAAATGGCAATAACGCTAAAAAAAACTAGCAGGACTGTCTAAGTGCAGGATCACAATCCTCAGGGTGGGAGGTTGTTGTTGTCATTTTACACAGTTAAGTGGATTTCAACACATACAAAGCGCAGTGAAGGGAGATGGTTGGCAGGATTATACCCGCCGTCTACATCCACAGAGTCAAGGCGAGGTTATCTGGCACGATGGCTCATAAATAAAAGAAAAGTGTCAAGAGCTGATTTTGTTGAATTTAGAGGATTTATTTGAATGACAACAGAAGAAATTAAACTTTAATTTCTTGTTTAAATGTATGTTCTGTTCAACTGGTTGGGTGCCCATGTCCCGGGGTTCTCACCAGAAATGTTTGACAGCATAGCGGGGGGCTGTCTTAGTGACACTTCCTGGCTAGCTCACACGTATTCAGGCAAATATTTAACAATAAGCGCCGATGAAGTTTCTCTACAGCGAAGACGAAGATAGAGAAACTACATCGGTGCTTGTTATTAAATATTTGCCTGCATACATGTGCGTTAGCCAGGTACCATCAACGTAGAGAAATGACCATTTTCCTGCACTTACCCTCGAAATCAACGTAACTGCCCAATTTGCAGCGTAATTTTTCAGGCAGTAGCATAACGGACCGTTTCTCTGTTATAACCCTGGAGAAAACCCTGTGTCCACTTTGTTCAATAAAAGCCTGGATGGACATAATTTAATATCTTATTTCAGTGGTAGGGCTCTATGTTAGACGTGAACCTGTTAAAACCGAAAGACAGAAACCTAATCCACTGAAATATTTGTTTACTTATCAAAAGCATCATCGCAATGTTGAAGAAACGTTTCCGCCCACAGCACGATCTGATTAGTTCCCTGTCACGAGTAACAGCCAATCAACAATGAAGGATAAGTTCTCTTTTAATTAAACACATGTAAAACATAAATAAAGATGGTTAAACCGAGCTTTGTGTTGGAGTTAGTGTTACTCTATAGTTTGACTAGACTTTCACGTTATGTACCAGCTCTCAGCTTCCTTGATTACATGTAATTGGTGTCAGTATCGGCCCTGACGGTTGACCTGTGGTGTGAGGCGGCTGAACGAATGAACAAACAGGAATTTACAGTATTATAGGTCTGCAGCAGAGGAAGCTGCAGTTTCAGGACCCCAGTCGTAGGACCCTTGTTTCTCCTGATGGTGCCACCTGCCAAATTGGATGACCAGTAACATACTATTTTCTGTCCAAGTTCTTATACTTTCACTCCACCCAGACAGAACTCTCTAACTAACAACGTATGGGTTTAAAAGCTTACTCCACTCAAACCTATACACGTTCATCTTTTACCAGTGTCTAGAAGAGCTAGCGGTCCTTTGGTGTAATCAAGTGAAGCTCATGAAACACAAAAGGCGACAGAAACGCAGCCTCCTCTGCTGCAGACACTCACTACTCAGACCATCAGTGATTTCATATGTGGGGAAACAAGTGAGTGTTGATGTGACGCCGTTAAGCCGTGGCTGACCTCACTGGAACAAGGTCTTCATCATGAGAGCCGCTAACACCTGAGTGCTTCCAGCTGTGACCAGTCACAGGTTGTTGTGCAACAAACAGATATTCATCATCACAGTTCCTACGCTGTTAAAAATGATCAGATTTTAACTGCAATTTCTTGAGCAATTTTCTGTTTATTTACTTTTTTTTCAGTGTTGTTAAATTACAGATAATACCGAGTAAGATCACAGAGTTTAAAAAATAAATAAATAAATAAATCATAGTTAACCATAAAAAACAGGCCCAAAACTTATAAACAGTAATTTGTTTTATTATTATTATTATAATAACTTACGTCACTTTAACTTCTATGATATAGTCTTGCCCTTTTTTTTGATTAAATTACAGATAAACTAATTATAGATTTGCTTTAATTTCCTAGTAAACCATAATCAAACAGGCCAAAACTGTAGATAAAGTCCACTTTTTAAAAAATGAGTATTTTTACATATTGTCATTTGTACTTTTGCATTTGGTTGCAGAATTACACTATTTTTCCAACCAATAATAATAATAATTTTACAGATATTGCCATGACTTAAAACACAATTATGTATATTCAAAAATATATTGAAAGATGGGATAAAAATTCTTTGAGACATTACAGATATAAAAAAAAGTAGTAAAATCAAAACGTTTTATTTGTTGAGTGTAAAAAAATCAAATAAATCACATCCAAATCTGTATTCTATTTTTTTCCCCCCATTTTTACAAACAATAATGTGTTCTTTTGACTATAAAATGTCACACTTTAACTGTATTTAAATCCACTAAAAGATAGCAAAACTTTTACAGATATTTACCCTTTTTTAAATTTTTTAAAATCCTTTTTTGTTGGAATTCTGTCCTCTCCTTTTAAAACGGATTTTTTGGGAACCTTGCTGCCAGATTTCCACCATATTTGTTTTCTAATTGCCACCTCTATTTCTGTTGTTTGCTTGCTCAAAAAAAAAAAAATCCAATCTACACCATTGCTGGTCGCCTTCCTTAGCTCTTTCTCTTTTTTTTCTTCTACAGGACTTTTTCATATCCTGAGAACAGTTCATCAGCCATGAGCCTCATCAGTTAAACCGCAGCTAAATTTAAACTCTCATTTTAGAAGTTTTCTTGACTGAGACCTAAAAAGAAAAAAAAAAGATGGCTGAGCGGATTCAAACATGAGCACACACTCCACCCTGTTCACCAAACCTCAGCTCACAAAAAGCCTTTTCAGGTGAGAACAGCAGCTCAGGGGGACGTGACTCCATCTTACAGCGGCTCCACTCACCGGATTCACAGACGTCCAGCCGCCTTCACCGTCTTTATCCCCGGAGGAGACGCGCCGAGAGCTGCGCGCTGTCACAAAAACTCCCAGAGGACCGAGCGCCTCAACTTGTCCGGCGGTGTGTGGGTCTGTTCCGTCCCGGTGTGTGGGTCTGTTCCGTCCCGGTCTGTGGGTCCGTTCCGCGGGGTTCCGAGCTGCACTTTGCAGCTGCACACAGATGTGAAGCAGCAGCCGTGAGGAGTGGAGTGTTTCCTGGAAGCTCGGAGATCAGGGTGGAGTCCGGAGGAGCCTGTCACACACACACACACACACACACACACACACACACATGCCAGCTGTGGGCGCAGCCGGGCCGGAGAGGCGCTGACTCACTGCCAGCAGACACGCCTCGATAATAAAGGCACATTACACCGACATGGGCCGTGAACGTCTGACAGCCACAAGGATGCCACAAACAAATATGTAAAAACAACAACAAACAACAGTGGGATGATGTAACATTCAAAAACGGGGGATGGCAAAAGAAATTGTTTTTGCAGCTTTTTATACAGTAAAAAAAACAACAACAACAACAACAACAAAGTGCTGTAGTTTTGTCCATTTCTTTGCACCGTCAACATCAACAAAAAACAAATCTGACTGACTGAATGATTGTTGTTGTTGTTGTATAAAATATATGTTATATTGATTTTTTTTTTTAAAAAGTGAGCTTTTACAAGATTGAATTTCCCTTCTGGGATAAATAAAGTGTTTTTCATTTCATTTCATTTCATCTAAAGTGATTCTATGTGTGTTCTATACTTTAATAAAATCTTCTGTGGAATAACTGTTTACAAAATGCTTTGCCAGTTTTCAGTCCTCAACAGGGAAAGTCCTTCTTTTAAATAACAACAAATAACTGTAAAATGACAACAATAACAAAAAAAAAGTTCAACGGTGTGATTTTTGCAGTCACACACTGTAAAAGAACAAATGATTATCTACAGTCGTCCTCACATGTGTTCATAGCCTCCCATTAAAGAAGGAAGAAGAAAACAGATGTCACTGAAATAAGCTGGAATTGACAAAAGTAATAATAAATAAAAATCTAATGAAAATCATGACATTGTTTTGGGATTGTGGTTCAACAGAAATATATATATATTAAATAAAAAACAACCATGATAGGACCTGTAAACTAATACTTTGTTGAACAACCCTTTGAGCCAATCACTGCAATCAAGTGTTTTCTGTAACTCTCAATCAGATTTATTTTTAAAATTATTCTTTTCAACCACAATTCAAAAGCAATGTCTTATTTCACTAAATTGTAATTTAGCAAATTTTTATTTATTATCACTTTTTCAGTTTCTAGTTATTTGAGTGACTATCATGAATTTCGCCTTTTCTTTAATGGAAAATTATTTACACACCGCTTAATCCTCACTAGGGTCATGGGGGGCTGGAGTCTATCCCAGCTGACTCAGGGTGAAGGCAGGTTCACCTGGACAGGTCACCAGTCTATCACAGGGCTACACTTGGAGACAGACAACCACATTCACACCTACGAACAATTTAGAATCACCAATTAACCGCAACATGTTTCTGGACCTTGTGGGAGGAAGCCAGAGAACCCGGAGAGAACCCACACTGCACGGGGAGAACATGGAGACTCCACGCAGAAAGATCCCGGGTGTCCTAACCGGGACGCGAACTGGTGACCTTCTTGCTGCGAGGCAGCGGTGCTAACCACTGAACCACCCTGCAGCCCATAATCAATAATATCTTGTTTAAATATCAATCAATATCAACAACACAATCATATATTTTACAAGCTACATGACTTTGCATTCCTCAGGCATCACATGTCCCAGAGTCTCTAATTACATAACTAATTGAATCCCCAAAAATGTGTGTGTTTTGTCTCTCTGTTCCGTCGTATGTTAAAAGGATTGTTGTGAGCCAGTTTGTTTACTCTTTATTTGAGGGGTTATTACGTAGCGGATCAGATTTTTCCATCCCACAAGTTTAGACAGATAAATGCTTATTTCTATTCCCCACTTAGACTCAACATAGATAGTAACAGTCTCCACAGACTACCTTGAATCTTGTCCCACTGTATGTCTGTAACGTTACACCAAGCACTCCACGAGGTTTTAAATTCTGTTTCCCTGCAGAAAACAGTCACTCGGCTGTTAATGTCTGAAGAAATACTCATTTTCTAAACCACATCTATTTCTCTAAGTTTGAAAACTCACCATATTTCCATTGAATGACACCATTTTAAAGGAGCAGAATGTGGAGAGCGAGTATGTGCACGGTTTAAAGAATTGGACGGCAGGTTTGTCACACAGCGTCTGTAATTATGAGACTGAAAGCACAACGTTCCAAATGTTGCCTTTGTGTTTATTTTGAAAAATGACGAGAAAATTACAAGATTTTAACAACACTAAGACAATTTATTTACCCTGATTGTAGGTTTTTTCAATTCACAAGATTCTCAAGAAATTCATCCAACCATCTGTATCACACACACAGACACACACACACACAGTCAAAAATACTGTAAACAATCAGGTTCATGTGAATCCGTCAATGTGACAAATCTTCACTTCTGCACGTGGTCCAGGTCAGCTGAGACGTACTTGAGGACGAGCTTCTTGGTGAGCGTGTATTTGGGCTCTGGCATTTGCTTGTAGGCTAAATACTCCCTTCTGCTGACCTCCCTGTTCACACGGGTCAGGACAGTGTTGATGTCATCCTTCTCCGAGCTGCACAAAAACATTAAAAATCACAATTCTTGATTTGTAGGAACATTTTAACACGACATCCTGCTGCCTGACGAGCGCATCTGGAAACAAAAGTAGACAGATAGGTACAACGATAGAAATGCATGATATTTGTCGTATGTGCAAGATTGGACAGTACATAAGTGACTGCATACAATTTAGAGTTGTTCTGTGTTGAAAGTGATGCACAAATGTTACAAGGTCTGACATAGTTAGATTGGTGTCGAGACTTACTGAAAAGTGAGCAGCTCAGATATGAAGCTGGTAGGACAGGGTGACATGGCCAAAAGTATTTATCACAATATAAATGAAAAAAATTGCTATATAGATTTAAGTGATGATCTCAGAATTGCTATGCGGACACCACAACGACCGAATACTCTGATATCCAGGTCCAGCCCTACTGTGGCGGTCGATGCACTGCATTCGCCCTCCTCCTCTGTGGCCGCCATGCTTCTCGCTCCAAGTGCATTAGATGGGACGAAAACAACGGCACTGCACATGCACGTTTCACTCAAATCTTATCGCGATATTTCAGTTTCATATCATCCCCTAACATTACAGCAGTATTACCGTGCATGGTATGATATGGCTCAGGCCTAGAAGCCGGCACGTTTGAAGGAGACTAATGTGGTTGTACTTTATAACAGATGTTGTGATCAAGCTGGGGCAAAGTGTGGTTTAAAGCTCTGTCAAAAAACACAGTATAATGCTGTGTTCACACCCGACGCGAATTCATCGCGCTATTCGCGCGTATTTGGACACGTGTGTGCACAGAGTTCACTCGCTTCATTCACGCTTTAAACTCAGAAAGTTTTGTGTCTGAATTCGTGTCATTGACGTGAATGAAGCGAATCCAGACGCCGCCACGTCCGGGTCCATTGGATCCTCCAGAGACCCACACGGCTCGGGGAATTCCTCCACCTTCTCCAGGAGCTGCACCTGGATGACGGCCGCTGTTCCAGCGCTGTTTTTGGTTGACCTGGACCCAGTTTGACGACCGTTGGAGAGGATCGGTACCAGGATATCCCTCCAGGATACCAACTACAGCCGCCCCCTGGGATAGAGCCATGTTTTTTTCCTCGTCCCATACAACAAACGGACGAGCCGTTGCCAGCAGGAGTACGATGACCACATCGACGAGAAGCCTGCTGAGGTTTATCTATCTGCTATCTGCTAGCATTGTGATAGCTAGCAACTCGGCTCGCTAGCTTACAAAGTTGAAGAGGTGGAATTCTTGTGTGTGAACTGGAGGAGAGGGATAGCCAGTCTGCTAAGCACTGAGATCTGCCTTGGCCAGTAATGCAGCTACTTATCTCCTGGGGTTAGTAAATCAATCAGTATCCACAGTGTAGTTGCAAAAAACGGAATGAATCATGTTCTTGACGTCACCAGAGAATCTCAACGCTGATTGGCCATCGCGGTGCGAAAGATTGCTAAAGTTCAGATTTTTCAACTTGCGTGTCCAACGTGAATTTGCATCATTCGCGCATTTAATGCGGCGAGAATCACGTCATTCGCCCGAATAACTAGCTCGATTCGCTGCACTAATCATGCGATTCGCACTGCAGGGCGCTTACTCGCATCTAATCGCGTCTTCACGTTGACTATACATGGAAACCATTTGTGCGAATGATTTCACTTGTGTCTAGTGTGAACACAACATAATCCTAAAGTTTCTGGTTGTCTCTCACCTTTCTGCTGCTTTCCTTAGCTGCCGGCACAGCTCCTGGATGTAGATGGAGCCTGTGGCAGTGTTTCGAAACGACATGCAGTTTGGCACAGTGGCCATGCCTATCAAGAAGTCCGCGTCCCAGGGCACCGTCTCGTTGGAGAGAGGTCCTGCATCTGCCTCCCAGTGGCTTAGTGTTTCCACCTCCGCCTGTGCTTGTGTTGGGAGGCAAGGCACAGCTCCTCTCTGGTACTGACGACCCTGGCATGCTTGGATGAAGAAGAGCTTGGGTTTCCCTGCCAAGGTGCGCGCTGCATTACTTTTGAAAGGCTCTGTCAGTTCTGACAGCTTCACCTGCTCTTCATCAGTGCCATAGACAATGTCTTTTAGTCCGTGGGAAAGCACACACACCACCTTAGATCAACAGAAGACACATATGTCAGTGCGTAGTATGTCTCAACCTCAGAAATTTAAAGAAGAATATAAAATATAGTTGTTAAATGCATTTAATCACAGCAACTTGCAGGTTCACCAGACTATGAAAGGTCTACGTGGGGACATGTTAGAAAATATTCTCCTTCCCACGAAGAGTTAGATTATATATGTATATGAGGCAGCATCTGGTTCATAAACACTTGTAAATGAAAACTTAAGGGTTAAAATGAGAAGTTGGGGTTGCGTGGTGGACTATTTCTTAATTGGCCCAAGCTTCTGGCTTCACAGTTAAAGCACATACATGAGAGATATATTGTTCTTCTAATCCAACTCTCAGCAATACTGCAAAAAGTCCAAAATGCTGAACTAAGTGTATCTAAAAATTCACTGAAGGATTCGGAAATTACTCACCAGGGCATCATCTCTCAAAAAATTTCTTTGGCCTAGCATGCGTATGACAGTTCGCATATTTCCTGCAGTCAGGTTGTTGTGTATCTCCACTTCAAAGCCAAAGCGGGTGAACACATCCTTCAGAGCTTCTGTGTCACATAGAAAACAGACAAATGGAAGCACATCAGTAGATCATATCATCATACGACAGCATTAACTCTGATTGGAACAAGGCCTAATAAGCAACAGATTAAACAGTCATACACTCATAAATCAGACCATGTGGATGTTCAAGTACAAGAACACATACGTGCATCCTCCTGAGTTCCTCCTCGACTTTTCAGCCCTATTCCCAAAAAGTTCTCATTGTTGATGACCACACACAAACCACGAGGATTATGAGTCAGAGCATAATAGTCCATCTACGGAGCAGAAGCACAGCCACACAGACGATCAGAAATGTTAACGTTCAACTAAAAGAGTGACTGAAAGATCACATGAGAGGTATTTGTGATTCTGTGAACAGGTACCGAATCAGGATCAGGAGGTGGAGAGGGCTCTGTGGGTGATTGTGCATCAGCGTAAACGCTCTCGCTCTCACCTGAAGAAAAAAATAAAAGATGTAAACTTACATCACTAGCATAAGGAGTAGTAATAAAAATTGCATGTGCATATATGTATGATGTTCTACAACTTGATCATCAACTGAGTTGTTGACAAAGACACTTACAGCTGAGCTGAGACTCAGGTATGGACAGAAAAGGTTGTGGCCGAGGAGTGTTGTTGACCCTCTGTGGGAAAACAACAGCGACAGCAGTCAGCAAAGTAATTTCAGGATAAACTGTTCAGGAACACACATTTACACACACACACCTGCAAATCCACGCTGACAGGTAAACTGGGTTGATGCTGCCGGGGCACTCCTGCAAACAGTGAAACCGTTTGACTGACTTCAAAGGTATAAAGCGTTTGAATGTGTATCAGTTTGTGCATATATGCGCGTCTCATACCTTGCATGTAATTCTGTACAGTTGATGCCAGCTGTTGATCAATCTCTCGCAGCATGTCATACAGCGCAGAAAGATTTCCATTTGATAACGATCCTACCTTCTCCATTTCAACAAACACATCCAGGGCTGTCTGTAATTAATAAAGAAGATGTTTTGTTTCTAGAAGCTTTGCATTTACATTTGCAAATTCAGCAATCAGTTCTGCAACATGAAATGGGTCTGGTGAAGAACTGTCTGTATCTACATAGTGAACATAACTAAAATTAGATGCTCCAAAAGACGCTAGTTGCTCGCTAGCTCGTTGTAAAAGCCACAATTCTGTTTTAATTTGATACAGGAGGGTTGTATGTTACGCTGGATGAAGCCCATCTTTGCTGATCTACTTAAATCACAACCTAGTTTCCATTTGCAAATGTACAAATATAATCAAACTCTTCAGCCAAACCTAAACTGAAATGAGACAAAAGACATCATCTGAATTTTAAAGCTAGCATTGCACGATGGAAAACTGTAAGTAATGTGTTATGCACTTTCTTTAGGTTCCCCTTTACAGAAAAACAGGTGCAATGATAATAATATGCTGATCAGAGTGAGGAGAGTTTAACTGTTAAATACACATTTAATTCCCAGTGTTGTGTATAAACTTTCCTCTGAAAAGAAAAAAAAAACTGTAGCTGATGTGTCATCATTTCTTACGCAACCCATTTCTGTGGGTGTGGCAAGCTAATTTTCAAACTGCTAGCAAGGTGTGTGAGTGTTCTCACATTGCACAGCTCCATTTTTCTGCGTTGGTCATTGTTGAACAGAAACTTCAACTTTTCCAGATTCTCCTTAGTCATGTCATCGTATATTTTGTACAGCATCATCCTGAAGGTGAGAGCAAGAAAAAGAGAGGGAAAAACAAAGACGCCACAGATAAATCAAACTGAAACTATCTGCCGATACTGTGTGTATGCTGGACTGTTAAAATCAATTTCTTACCTGTATTGTGACAGGGCAGGTTGAGCGTCCGTTTCCTCTGCCTGTCTGCTGTCGGTCTCAATGTGGCTGAGGAGATCCGCTCGACGGATGGTGCGGAGCAGCTGCGAAAGAAAATAATTGTTCTCCAGCAAACCTTTTTCTTCTAGTCTCAAGAACAGCTGCTTTGCATCCGTGATCTGTAGCAAAACAACCAACAAACAGACAAACACTGGTTAGTTTTGTTGTAAATATAGGGAGTGTAGAAGGTAGCACACTGTCAGTCTCCTCAGACATGGCATTGAGACAAAGACAACATGATGAAGTATGTGGTGCTCACCCCCTCAAGCCGTTTCCCGCTGATGACATCCCGACACAAGAAGCAAAGCTCTGCCACCTCAGTGGACTCCAGCTCGTCGTCTATTTTGGCCAGGATCCGCCTATCCATCACAGAACCCACTCCCACCAGCACCGGCCTGGTGCTCAGCTCACAGAACTTTACAGGTTAGGGCTATTAGAGTGAAAGAAACAAGGGAGATGGGGAATCAGACACAACTTCAGATAAACTGTAAAGCACACATTTTTAGAAGAAACTGAACGAGAAAGAATTAATTTATAATTTAAAAAAAAACGGGATAAGAAAACAAATAAAATAGCTTGAGCAAAAACTTATTGGATTTACTAAAGGGTAAAGGGACCAGAGCCTGTGATGTGAGGCACCCTAACTTTGACCTGTGTGACAAACTGAGACTTGCAAAATTTGGATTTCTATTTAAATTGCTTTTGAAAGTACACTTCCATCAAAATAAAGTCTCAGAATTAATTTTTGTGTGTGTATGCATGTTTTGGAACAGTGGTATGTTATCAGCCACCTTTTACCATAGTTTGTGTGTAGGCAACATGACCACAGCCACAGTGACGTCCTACATTGGTTTGAGAACTAGCGTTTTGAATTGTCGAGTCTGGAATTTGGTCTTTTGAAACCAGACAGAACAAGCGAGCGGGGATCCGACTGAAAACTTGAGAACGCTACACATAGTGCTACAATCGCTACGTTTCTAAAGTATAGAAACTAGTACAAAAACTAAAGATTGTGACCAAAAAATCATGAGGAAAATGTTTAGTGAGGTAGGTTTAAGTCACTTTCATATCGCTGTACTACGAAGCAACTTTGACATCGCCAGGCTTTCTTTGCATTAGCCAGTTTGACAAAACGTGAACCCCCAAACAAAGATAACAGGCAAAACGACAGTGGTTATTAACATTCTTTGTTTTCTTCATCAGGCTCAGTGTGTACTCCCAAAAAGGAGAGCGTTTCACATGTGATTTGCCTTCTTCAGCACAAAATAGATCAATCAATTCAACATACCTGTAAATCTACTAACTTGATAGTACAGCCCTCTGGAGGACATATTTTATATTCAGTATAGCACTATCACACCTTCAATTTGACTTTTACTTATGTTGTTCTTGGTATTTGATATAATTGTATGCTGCCTTCTTCAGTTAAGAAGAACAGGTTGGTATAATGGAGAGCTGTGAGGGATTCTGGCCAAACCAGGGTAAAATTAATGTTATTGATTAAATAATCTCTTTGATAAATATCAATAGACTGCATACAGGAAGAAACAAGATGCTGTAACAAGTGAATAATGGAACAAAAGGAACAACTGGTTCAGTGAGGCAAAAACAACGTCTTTCTTTGTATAATCACACATTTCCGTCAGGGTGGAATAAGGTGAACTCGAATATCAGTAAGTCTGTTTTTCCCTCCGTCTTGGCAGTAAAACAGGAAAAAAACAATAACATTTATGTGCATATTATTGCATTTTGTGCACCACAGGTAATGGGTTCAAGTGGCAATGCAATACATACACTGTGACTACTGCATGGCCTTTTCAGTGTCATTAGTTACGCTCAGCATACCTGTTAACCTACTACCTTGATAGCACAGCCCTCTGGAGGACATGTTTTATATTCAGTACACCTTTAATTTGAAAGGGTGTGCCTTTTATACTGATTTTGTTCTTTCACTTTTCCCTTTATTCTCTCTCTCTCAAAAGCAGTTGATCTAGTGCTGTATGAATAACCTTTACTGTCAAGACACTCTCTAGTAAACAAGGTGGTGTTTTTGGACTTTAGCAATACAAAATTCCGAGTAAATAACATTAAACTGATCGATATTGATATAATATAGGCAAATTAAGGAATAAGGAACAAATGAGGATTAAAAAGTAAATAACAACAGTGTAAATTATACTATAAATAACACTAAACAAGCCAAGGGTCATCAGATCTATACGGACTTACAGTAAAACGTTTTATGTGAACTCAGCAGAATACGATGAGTGACGTATCTGGAAAAACACCAGCCACAGCCGCGACGTCTGTTTACCGTCACACCGGGTTAAATTTACACGTTTATAAAGTTTTCTGTCAAGGTTGAGCGACACCACTACATAGAAAAAGTACTTTTAAACCAGTTTAGAGCACATACGAGTCGAGAACGTAACTTTTGCGGCTCCTACAGTTAACCGTCAGGTGAGTCTATGACGCAAAAACTTACCGCCGCCGACTCGCCCACTCAGCGACACTTTACGGCCACAAGAGCGAAAACTTCCGTCTTCTGTATTTCACTAAAAAAAAATCACCTCTTCTTCGGGTCGAAAACTTAATAAACTAACTTTGATGTGCCACAGGATTCTTTCCGTGTCTTGACTTTCTGTCGCTCAGAGTTTCACTTTCAGAGGAAATGAGCGCGCGCCTGTTTGTACATTGGGCGCTTGGGAAATTTTAAGAAAATAAAAGCCGCGTAAACAAAGTAATGATATCTCAAAATACCGTGTAATGCTGTCCTGTAACTCTTATTTTGGTTTAGTTTATATCTACATTAAATGCCAAAGTGGTAACGCATTCCATATAGTCCCATGTATTTTTGTTTACTATTGTAAATTTTTATTTTGAAGGGCTGCATTGCCACACAGCTAGTGTAACTGCTTTGCACAGACCAAATAGCTCATAAGACCAAAGCACAAACACTGTGTTTGACACAAGCCACTTTATTCAGATCCCAAATGTTCTCTGAAAAGACCGCACAGCCACTGGTTTGAAAGCTACTGCTCCATCCTTTCCACATCGCTTACATTTTCAACACTCATCATCTATCACTCAAAAGAAAGAAAAAAAACATGTGATTTCTGAACATCAGTGTGAGTTGTGTTGGGAGTGAACTACGGAAAAAGACTGAGTTTTGTAGCATGTGAGATGTGCCCTTGAGTGTGCCGTCACTCGGCTTTCGGGTCTGCTTCTGGAGGAGGGCGAGACGCAAAGGGCAGGAAGTATTCTCTGGCAAACTGATGGACATCATCGGGTTTTCTCAGCAGCAAGAACTGCAGGAAGTCAGATACGAGGGCCCTGATCTCTGGGTGCTGTCTCAGATATGAGGCGTGGCCCGCTTTCAGCTCATCCTACCACAACAAGACATGAACACATTCATGCTCTGTGGTGCTCAAATGAATTACAGGATGATAGAACATGTGTGGGAAGAACCTGTATTATTAAGGTACAGTCAAGTCGTACAGCAGGAGAATATTTTTGGTCACCTTTCTGTCCAGGAACTCTGAACGCATCTGCATGTCTTCTTCCCACGCCAGGGGGATCTTCTCAAAAGCTAATGCACACACACGTACACACAAAAAACATCAGTGACCGTTTCATTTGAGCAATGTCTGTTTTCTCAGTGCGTGGGAATAATTACCTTTTTCTGTCTTTGATGGCAGCTCCAGAAGCCTCATGATGACTGGTGAGCCCACCTGCACTCTGCTGGCCAAGTGCCTGATCACAGACAATATACTCACAAACTTGCTTTAATGGATTTTGCAAACTGTACAGCATGAAAATAGCTAAAAATCTGTCTTGCTTTCCCACAAACGCGCCCATTTACTCTTAGCAGTATAAAAGCTACAAACAATTTCGTACATCTTTGCTTACATTGTTCCATTTATATATCTATGTTAGCCATGGTATAAATCTGTTAACAAGCAATCTTCGTTTTCCCAGTTTGCATGCGAATCCTTTTTTTTGGCCATCTTCCAGGGTGATGGTATTTCACCTGAAGCTGTTTAGTTACAGCCAAAAAAACCATGAACAGAATAACCGATAGATACCCAATTTAAGAGGGTTTAGTTTTTCAGTATATCCTCCCTGATACAGACTTATGAGACCATATTGTGCCCAGTCTCCACAGTGTGTCTTTTACTTTTTCATTTAAAATATTGGATAGAGGGTTCATTTTACCATGACTGTATAACCTCTGGTTCTAGCTGTGGTCTAAATAAGCTGTTTTGCTCTGAAAACTAAAGAGCTGCTGCTGTTCCTTCCCCCCTCAGGTTGTCTGTTTGAGCAGAGGTTAATCTGGATAACTATTGTGGGTAGCTAGATGTTATGAAGCATGTGGTTAAAATTCTTGCTCGCTTGTAAAGCTGGGAGGTTAACTACTTGTAAGGGGGCTTGTAGAATGTAAGACATCTTCATATCCTAACAGCTCATGTTTTGCACCTCAAAGTTTCTAACAACCATAAAAATGGATTTTCACCATATGGGACCTTTAAAGCGTCATTCAAGTATTCATGCGAACCTAAACATCGGTATAGTAGCTCAACAGGCTACACTGAAGGCTAAAAGAATTGTAACAAAGTCAACAGTCGTAACCTGTTTGATCCAATCATAAGCACAATGAGACCATCCGGCAAGTGTAAGATCTCGGAGAGTTAAAGTCATTGAGCTCACCCGTCATCCAGGAAGTAGCAGTGCCAAGATGTTGGACTGTCCTCCTCAGAATTAACAATCCTCTCCACCCCAAACACCTCCAGGATCTCACCTCCAACCTCCAGCTGCTTCAGACCCAGCTCACTCTGAACGCAGACACAAAGCAGTCACACTTCATTATTCAAAAAAGTCATCGAAGGACTAAGAAGTCTTACACAGGCGTAATAACTCACAAAGGTGGTGTGGATTAAGCGCAGTCGTTGGTCCAAGGAGACGAACGTCATGTGTTCTGGCACCTTCTTCTTCAGAGCCATGAGACGCATCAGCAGCAAGTTGGAGCCCTCAGTTACCAGCCCCCTTAGAGCAGACATGGGATAAGAAACGCTCTCCTTCGTCACCTCCTGTACGCACAAAAACAGGATTACGACTACCTGTAACTTCCTGACTGCATGTAGAAAGAGCATATTTCAGGGTGGATTTTGCTAAATGGTGGTGCTGTAATGCTGTTTTATGAGTGTGTCAGGCAGTTGTCTCTCACTGACTAGCTTCTTGTCTTACCTCTCCCATAGTTGTAATTTTATCAATCACCATCTGCCCGTCGCGCTGCACCATGTGGCACCTCTTGTCCAAACTGTGGCCGTCGAGCTGAGGCGGGGATTCAGGAGGAAGATATACGGACGGAAGGCAAGTGCAATGTTTTTATGTATAGAGCAAGTGCAAATCCATGTGAGTAAAAATGTTACATATAGTCACAGAAAACACCTAAAAGCAAAAGACAAATCTAATTAAATGTATAAAATAGGGTGTTAAGATCCACTTGAATCAGAATGTAAATGAAAAGAGGTGGGTTGCAGTAATTTTTTAAAGTTTCCAACGTCTGAACAGTCATTACATGGAAAAGTGAACTGTTTCAGACAATCGAAGCAGCTACTGTGATGTGTGCTGTTTCTGTTTTTGAGGCTGGATCACCACACTTGTAAGAGCATGTGGTTGGTCGACCTCTAGATGTGATGGTGTGAAAGTTCTGCTAAGTAAAGTAGCGCCAACCCATTTAAAACCCTAAAAACGCACAATAAAATCTTAAAATCAAAAATGTGACAGGAGGGGATTCTGGGTAAAGATGTGGCGTAAATATGGATGATAGACAAGTACGACACTTTTATGTATAGTACAACTGCTGATCTGTGTGAGTAAATATGTCCAAGTCACATTTATTTCTTGAAAACATTTAAAAGCAAAAGACAAACCTGAATAAGATGAATAAAACAGGGTGTTAAGCTCTACTTGAATGAAATGCCAATAAAAAGAGGTGGGTCTTAAGCAGTAATTTAAAACTTTCTAAAGTCTGAGCAGACGTTACAAGCAGCTACTGTGACGGACAGATCGCATCTGTTTTTGAGGCTGGATCTCGAAAAACATCTGGTTGGCCGACCTCTAACTGGGGTGTGATGGTGTATGAGTTCTACTAAGTAAAGTGACGCCAACCCATTTAAAACCTTTAAAAAAATCTTAAAATCATGGGAAGCTTGCAGTGACTCACCTTGACATACTCGTGGAAATCCTCCTCCAGCACCTCCAGGTCAGGAGTCAGGTAGGCTGATATGGTCAAAGTGGGCAGACGTTAAAGGGAGCATGCTGGCACATCTGGATTTTAAATGGAAAATAGTGGCGATCAGCTTGTCCCACCTGTCACTGTTGTCCCACAGGGGGAGTCATCAATGGCTCCGTGGCTCTGAGCGTGCAGCAGCAGACAGAGCTGCTGGACTCTGCGGCCAAACTCCACCCGAACACTGAACTTGCCCAGATCTCTGCCTCCCTCTGACACAGTCACCAGAGAGTCTGCAAACAGGCACTTCTGCAGCTCTGAGGGAAGTGAAAAGACTTAAACATAAAGCTGCAATATGAAATATCTCTAAAGCTCATCTGATCATCTCTGGCAACTGCACACATGCAATGAATAGTTTATAGCTCTTTTTTTTGTTTCCCACTGGAGCATCTCAAGATGTGCCAAAAGCAGGTGGCGCGAGCTCAGGCGCACGCGGCTCTCGTCTCCTACTGACTGACATTAGGACAGAACTGTGGACTCACCGATGCTGGACATGAATGCGATTGCTTCTTCAGACGCTTTCAAGTCCTGCTCTTCAGTCCCCGCTGAGGCACCGGCAGTAGCCACGTCTTCTTCCAGCGGGGCTTCCATCGTTAACGCTGATTGTATTTAGGGCAGATGCACCCGGTGTTTAAAAAACAAACAAACAAACAAAAAAAAAGTCCCTGCGCAGTCGGAACAGATTCACAAGACACACTTTTGTTGCGACAGACAGCGTGTTCTGGTCATTTTTGTTTGTTTGTTTGGTTGGTTATAAAGGAAAGCAGTCTTATGCGGTACTTCTGTGTGCAGCTTGTTTTCGGAGAAGAGGACGAACGAATCAGAGTTGTCATGGTAACGACGCTGCAGTACCGTAAATGCTGCAGTATGTGCGCAGCATTGATGCGCAGCAAAAACTGGGGGGAAAACTGTAAAATACTGCAAAAATCTACCTTGAAGTTAGAACTGAAGCTACATAAATAACATTCAACTGGTTTAACAATTCATCTATGCCATAGAAATGCTAGTATTAAAAAAAAGGGCAGACCAAATAAAAATATTGAAATTGTGTTGTATGCTGCTAACCCAAAGAGCTGCTAAACTGCATTTGTTGTTTAACAAAGACAATAAAAATCTATTCTATTCTATTTTGTATACATATATATATGATGTTGGAAATTATCGTCTAGTGTATGTCTAAGCCAGCTATTTTCACTTGTATAGATATGCTGACATATACGGTCATAGAAGCTAAAATAAAATGATGGTAGTTGCATAGGAATGTGAAAACCACATTAATAAACAATAATAATATATGCATATAAGAAATGACCAAATGTGACCCATAAAACAGATGTCAGTACATAAAGTGTAGAGAGAAGCTTTGATAAGGATGTTCGGTGAGCCCTCGGTGTGTGTCATTAGAAGGAGACGTTGGCACTTATCTAGATTATTTTCTCCTCACTAGATCCTTGCTTGTGTTGTATCTGCTCTCAGATGTACGACGCTCTGGATAAAAGCATCTACTAAAAGGAAATTGTAGAATTGTAGACATTCTGTCAGCCCCAGCGTTGAAACAACAAGTACAGAAAATAAAGATTGTGCCGGGTTTGAGTGTAAACAAAAGTCTACATAAAGATGATCACACACAATGTGGTGACGCAGCTCATGACAGGAAGAGAGAATCAGGTGATAATCGAACTTTGGGGATACCAATGAAACACACTGGGAGGATTTTTTTGGAGTTTATGCTTTGGGTAATCAGCCCAGTTAGTTGTAGCTACTCTTTGTGTGTTATACAATCAATCCACAAGCAGACTGAAGATCACTGACTCTGCTCCATTTTTCTTGAGTCGGATTAAAGTTCATAACAATTCAGTCAGCAAGCTGAAACTGATCAATTATATGTTCAATATCTAAATGCAACCAGAATTCAGCATGTGGAGCTTCTGCTTGCAAAGGATTCTAAACATCTGGAGTCTGAGTGATTAAAAGTTGAGCCCACCAGTGGTCATCAGAATATCAGCTTTATTCTCAGATAAAAATGTGTGACAGTATAAAAGGCAATGATTCAATATGAAAAAGGATAAAACATTTAGAATGAAATAAAACAGAAAAAAAAGCCAATAAACATTTGAAGAAACCACTCCTGTGAGTTAATTGTACACCCTTAATTAAGAGATGACGTCGACTATGTTTCATGATTTGTGGCCTCAGCTGCTATGCGGTGAAAGTACAAGTTTCTTCCTCAGGGTGAATCTCACTTCAGGCATCTGCTTCACTGCACCTGGTTCTTTGGGGACCTCCTTCTGACCCACTTCATTGTTCACATGATGCAGGATGGTGATTAAGTCCTCACCCCTACAACAGTGCACAGATTCAGATTTAATAATGTGTACATTTTACACTACAGAGCATGTCATTGGATCGACACAATACAAAGAACTGTGGACGTTTTAGATTTTCTTTGAGCTTTATATTTACCTTGGACAACGCTCCCTCAGCTGCTGACACAGAGATTGGATAAACCAGGTCCCATCAATTATGTGTCTCATTGATACATAATCTTCAACAGTGGCAATGGCAACCAGAACATCTGCTGCCTCAGGGATGTAACGACCACCAGAATCATCCTCCAGACCGTTGTGTGGCACTCCACGCTGTTTTCCTGTTCCTTGGCAGGCCTGGATCAGGAACACTTTGGGCTTCCCGGTGAGCGCTGACTGCTCAGTCGCCTTGAAGGTTTTGGTGATGTCTTTAATGGAGTAGGGCTCCTCGTCAGTTCCCACAACTACACCCTTGTCTCCGTGACTGAGAACACAACAGATGAAGGCATCTCCATGCTTAAGACCCTGCTGAGGTTCAGTGAATCCGCTGTCAGACCACTCCTCAATACTGAACTCCTGCAGCTGAGCAAGGT